TATGACAGCTCTTCATGATGCTGCTAACAATGGTAACTTTGAGTAGTTATGCTCACCAAATCGGAAATTGATTGAATCTATTTCATTGACCTGTTTCAGGTAATTTAGAGAACGTTACAAAGCTCCTCAAAAGCAATTTTCTTCATTCGAATTTCGTTCAAATTTCTATGTATTCAATTCACTAATTCGTTGAATCGATTTTTAAAATCGTACAAAATCAAAAACGGTTAGTGTGTGTTCGATTTGACACTATTGGCATTTATCTCTCAAATGGTTCGCACGAACTTCATATAATTCGAATCACTTTGTATTCCATTGCACACTTATCAAAGTCAAACGGAAAAAAGTATGTATGAGTAAGTAACGTGGACGAACGAAGCGTTCGAACGTGTTCGACGGCCAATACTAAGCGAGCTGCTGTGCTATGTACGGTTTTGTTTTGTTCCGACATTTAATTTTTGCAAATAGTTTTTTTGGATGGAAAATCCAATTAATTTTCCATTTCAACTTTGTTATTCCAAACTAATAATCTTTATTTGTTTATAATTTTCAACATGAAGCAAAGTGAAGGTGCACCAGGTAAGATTGAAGCTCCATTTCTTTTCAAAGTTTCATTCTCACCATTCCATACAAATAATGCATCATTTGATGTGTGAAGTCATTTTCCATATAATCTAACAAAGTATCCAGGCCAAATTAACCAGAACTCAATTCAGTTCATGATAAATTCGTTGTAAATATTTAAAAAAAATGTTTGACGTTACATGTTCTCAGGATTCAATTCATTGAATCCAGAACTATACGGTCATCATGTAATACAGAGATGACTTTAGTGCACCCAAGTATTTGTGTTGTTTTTTTGTTTTTTTCTTCGTTATACTTTATCTTTTTGGCCAACAAAAACTTTGTATCAATATTTTGTGTAACAACCACATTTATGCCAATTACATTTGAACCCGTGAGCATAAAAAGAACGTATTGACTCTTCGCCGATGAATACGAAACGCAAAAAAATCGCCGAACAAAGTGAAACACCAATCTGTTATTGGATCAATATGAAACATGAAATCGTTGGCTACTATTTAATTTACGTTGCGCTTTGTTTCGAAGTACAGGTGGGCGTTTTGCGATTACTTAATCACTTGAACAATCATTTCCAAATGATTAATACGACCAATTAATCTCTTAATCGCAATTAATCATGATTAAGAGATTGTGCAAGAGATTAATTAATCATATCGAAAAAAAATCGAAGGACAAGTTTCATACAAAAAACATGTCGATTTTTGCCAGACCCAACAATTTTTGGGTTTTTCGTTTTTTGTATGAAACTTTTCCTTCGATTTTTTTTCGATATGATTAATTAATCTCTTGCATAATCACTTAATCATGATTAATTGCGATTAAGGATTAATTGGTCGTATTAATCATCGCGAATTTTGGGTGTTTGATTAAGATTAATTAATCTTAATCAGATAGTCCGCCCATCTGTGTTTCGAAGCGCGGCAAGTGTTTCATTTTGTTTCAGTAACAGAACGTTGTATCACTTTGTTCAGCGACGCGCTCAATGTTCTGATTTGAAAAAATATGCATGATTTGATACAGTTTTGTGCGAGTGCAACATAAATTCTGTTCGCTTGAAAGTGAATCGTGAAATATCGGCTGACTATAGAAATTGTGTTTCACTTTAATTGCAAAAAAAATGTTTGATACACCTTTGACTCCATTGGTATGATGATTCATTTTAATGGTGGTTTTGGTCGTGATTTGTCTATGAAGTGAAAATTAACTGATAAGGAGCGCGAATTTCGATGTACCGATAACACCAATAGAGCAGAAAAAAATACTATATGAAAATCGAAAAAAAATTTAAACTTTTTTTTTCGACTTTTGCCTATTTCGGATCGTCTACATGGGAAGTTTGTATGAAATCCTCGGAACGCGGGTTCACGCCGCTGTGAATACATTGGTTTATAAACAGAGAAAATTGTGTTGATTTTTACGTTGCAAAATGTTTGAAAGTGTCAAATTCCAACACATGTTGAGTTTTTCGCAACAAATGTTTTTTCCATATTGACTCAAGTATTTGTCAAATTAGACACCAGCTCCCTTACATCGTGTCTAATTTTCAAATTAGGCGCCAATTTTCATTAGACACGATGTAAGGGAGCTGGTGTCTAATTTGACAAATACTTGAGTAAATATGGAAAAAACATTTGTTGCGAAAAACTCAACATGTGTTGGAATTTGACACTTTCAAACATTTTGCAACGTAAAAATCAACTCAGTTTTCTCTGTGTATAGTGAAATCTATACATGGCCAAAACACGAACGCACAACACCCATTCTATTTCGCTCACACTTACGTGTAATTTTTACCCGTATAACAAAGTAGTCTGCTTCACTGTTAAAAAGATGTAAAGAAACAAGAACGTACATGTTTCAGCAACGTTAAAATGCACGTAAGTGTGAGCGAAATAGAATGGGTGTTGTGTTAAAATGAATCATCATACCAATGGACTCAAAACTGTATCAAATCATGCATATTTTTCCAAAACAGTACATTGAGCGCGTCGCCGAACAAAGTGATACAACGTTCTGTAACTGAAACAAAATGAAACACTTGCCGCGCTTCGAAACAAAGTGCAACGTAAATAAAATAGTAGCCAACGATTTCATGTTTCATATTGATCCAATAACAGATTGGTGTTTCACTTTGTTCGGCGATTTTTTTGCGTTTCGTATTCATCGGCGAAGAGTCAATACGTTCTTTTTATGCTCACGGGTTCATTTAACCAATATATAAAGGGAAAAATCCCCAAAAGTAGAAATTGCGTAATATTGCAAAATTGAGCCGATGCGCGTAATTACTACGTGCATATGACCACACAATGTGAATACCGAGGCAGAAAATGTAAGCTCTTCTTCATTATGTTACACAAAATTTTGTTAAAAAAAAAATTTGGCCAAAAAGCTAAAGTAGAACGAAAAAACAACAAAAATACTCGGGTGCGCTAAAGTCATCTCTGATGTGATATCAGGGCTTAAAATAAGAGTGAATCAAGTCCAAAATGGTGAATCAAGATTTGAAAATGTGAATCAAAAAATTCCAAACGGTGAATTAAGAATTCACCAATAAATATGAATTCAACTCGATTCAACGTCTCTTTTTTTATAAAAAAATCGCGGTAAGCGATTTTATTTGATGTGATGACTGATGAATATTTTGGTTTCAATCGGTTTATTTGTTTTTAGCCGCTGAATTGTTTGTATCACAATTGCTTAAATGGCTACTGTGAATTGCAATACATCACAGGCACACGCTCAGAGATGACTGAAGCGCACTCGAGCATTTGTGTTGTTTTTTTCTTCGTTCTACTTTACATTTTTGGTCGAAAAAAAATGGTATCAATATTTTGCCTAACATAATGAAGAACGGCTTTTGAAAAACCACTTTTACATTGGTGTATGTAAAGAAAAATCCTCAAAAGTATCGATCGTGAAATTGAGCCGTGTGGCCGCACAATGCGAATACCAGCTCTCGTTTCAGGGCAGAAAAAGTAAGCTATTCTTTGTTATGTTAGACAAAATATTGACAGAAATTTTTTTTGGCCAAAAAGGTAAATTAGAACGCAGAAAAAAACAAAAACAAAAACAACACAAGGGCTCGAGTGCGCTTCAGTCATCTCTGCACACGCTTAAATCAATTGAATGCATATTTTTCCAATTTATTGAAATGACAGCTCAGTAGAGAAATTACAACACATATAAGCACACGGAATCCGTTTCACGCACAAAAAAGGATTTATACATTGACTACGGATATACACAAAGCGTTTCATTTGCTATGCATTCGTATACGCATTTTGCATACTGTATGAAAAATGTGTATACGAATGCATAGCGAATGAAGTTCTATGCATTCCATGGCAACAGAACTATGTAGAATAAGTTTGTCTGCATTGTGTAGTGTGTGCTTGTGTATTTGTTTGTCAATTCGTTGATTTTTATGCCCCTTTCGATTTCAGCAAAATGTGAATCAAAGAGAATCTTTATTTTAAGCTCTGTGTGATATCACTATGTTAAAACATGTAACATTCGTTTGACGTATCATTCGATTATAACAACGCATTGAATATTTCAATTTTCACATCAAAAACAAAAATCCACGAAATTGTAACATAAATCCGGAAGCTTTGTGTAGAGCTTTCTGAAATGTCAACAATCGATATATCATGAGACGCACACACCAACGATTTTGATCAAATGTGCCAACAAAGGTCTAAATAATTAATAATGTGTATTTGTGTATGAGTACGGCATCGCCATATCCACATATTTAAGTCAAACACACTAGCTTCAGTGCATTGCAGAGGTGCCTTACAATACGATGTACCCATCAACAACGAATACACGATATACTCGCTTGTCAGTAAGTCAATAAGCAGAACAGATCATACAATATTCAGGGCGCTATTCAATCGTCATCGTACGGCATCTCTGGCATTTATATTCAGAAAAAAATCTGCTCAATATAGGCATAGTCTATGGTTTTTGACATAGGAATTGAAGAGGCCCTCTGATTAACTGAACACTCATTTCCTCATCAATTTAGACAACAGTGTGGAAAAGTTCATCTCACGGATGTAAGACATTTGCTTTCGATTCACTTCACTCATCTATTTTTTTCTCCATTTTTTCCAAATGATAAATGTGAAAAAGACCGTCTAGCTCTTCATACCGCTGCTGAGAATGGTAATTTTGAATAGTTATGCTCACCAAATCAGAAATGGATTGAATATATTTGAATGATATGTTTCAGGTAAATTGGAGGACGTGAAAAAGCTCATCAGCAATGGAGCCAGAGTTAATCGTCCAGACACTTCGGATCGGACACCACTTCGCTTCGCTGCTCAGAATGGTAATGTTGGATATTTATTTGCATTAAATGAGAAATTGGTTTGATCTTTTTCATTGATCGGTGTTATTTTTCAGGTCACTTGAATGTCGTTGAATTTCTCATCACGAAAGGAGCTGAAGTTGATCCTATAGACTGTCTTAAGCGGACACCTCTTCATTATGCTGCCATGAAGGGTAATGTTGAATATTTATTTTCGGTAAATAAGAGAATGGTTTGATTTTTTTCATTGATCTGTGCTTTTTTTCAGGTCTCAAGGATGTCGCTAAAAAAATCATTACGAAAGGAGCCAATATTGATTTAGGAGACTGCCATGATCGGACACCTCTTCATCATGCTGCTATGAATGGTAAATTTGAATATTTTCACTTAATGAGAGAAAGACCTGATTAATATTGATCGATGTTATTTCTCAGATCACATGGAGGTTGTCCAATTGCTCATTATGAAAAAAGCTGAAGTTGATCCTATAGACTGTCTTAAGCGGACACCTCTTCATTATGCTGCCATGAAGGGTAATGTTGAATATTTATTTTCGGTAAATAAGAGAATGGTTTGATCTTTTTCATTGATCTGTGCTATTTCTCAGGTCTCAAGGATGTCGCTAAAAAAATCATCACGAAAGGAGCCAATCTTGATTTAGGAGATTGCCATGATCGGACACCTCTTCATCATGCTGCTATGAATGGTAATTTTGGATATTTCCACTTAATGAGAGAAAGACTTGATTAACATAGATCGATGTTATTTTTCAGATCACATGGAGGTTGTCGAATTGCTCATCGCAAAAAAAGCTAAAGTTAATCCTAGAGACGGTCTTAGGCGGACACCTCTTCATTATGCTGCTGAGAATGGTAATTTTGAATATTTACTTCCACAAAATGAGTAATTAATCTAGTCTTTCTCATTGGTCGACAATATTCTCCAGGCAACGTACAGATCGTTCAAATCCTTGTGAACAATGGAGCCAGTCTTAGTATAAAAGATTATCGAAATCAGACACCTTATCAGATTGCTTCAAAAAGTAATGTTGAATATTTTTGTTTAGAAAAGAATTTGATTCAAACTATATTATTTTTCAGATAACAAGGAGAAGGTGGCTGACTATCTTAAGGAGGTTGAAGAAAAAACACGCCATGGACACAAGTGAAATCAATTGAAAAATCAGATTTTTTCCTTTGAGTTCCGTATTCGATTGTCATGTAGAATATTAACCCGCAGACGGGCAAGCTAAATCACTTAAGACCGAAAGTGGACTCATAGTTTTATGGCTGTAAAATTGAAAAAAAAACGCAATATATTTTCAAAAGTGAGATTGTGCTGGAAGCTAGAAAGATGTATCTCTCAAACGTGCCATATGCCGATAAAATTAAATGAAAACCAACAGAGATATATTACTCTGATTTTTTTGTCTAAATTTTGTGAAAAAACACTGATGCTGAACTAATTTTGTTAAAGCATGCCACGTTTAAAAGATGCATCTTTCCACTTCCCCACTATATACTACTTTTTATGATACATTGCTTTTTACACCGAAAATATTATCAATTCTGGTAGAGAAATGGCTTTTTTTTGCGGCTTTTGATATTTGACAAAAATTCAACTGAATGCATGTCTCTGTAACTTTTCTAAGGTTCATCCAATTTTATTGGTATATTGCGCATTGAAATGGTTTTCGGAATAATACTACTTTGGATGATATTTGTATTATGTATTCCCAATTTTACAACCATAAAGCCATGGGCCCATTTCGGTCCGATTTGCCCGCTTGTGTCCAGAAAATATATTTAGCTCCACGGAGCGCCATCTAATGATCGATGTTCAATTTTTTTTTGGCTGTAATACGTGGAAAGGATCAAAGAGTACAATGGAGCACCTTTTCCGCACAAGAATATAGTTTTTATATATTTATTTATTGAAAAACCATCTTCTCGGACCACAACGAAGCCACTTGCCCGGTTGAGAGTTAATTTCAATATATTTTCGACTATATCGGTTATGATTAGGGTTTACAAACGTTTCGACAAATACCGCAAACGGTGTTATAAAAACGTTATTTTTCTGTAATGTTTTTTTTTTGACAGTCCAAAGTACCGCAGAAATAACGATAAAAAACGAAAAAAACGGTTTTTGGGCGTTATATAACGGCTCTGTAAATAAACGTTTTTAAGGAAGCACTGAAAAAAATAACGCGTTTTTAAACCCTAATTATGATGTGAAAAGTTGATAAATCGTATACGAATGTTAAGCAAAAAGCTGTAAACTTCCGAATACACTCATAATTTCAAGGAAAACCTCAACTGTTTTATTCCAAAACCTTAAGTGTTCAGAGACATATCCCGACCATCGCTAGTATAGTGCATAATATTAAACGCACCCATTCATTTGTCATTGTTTTCAAATTCCACGCGAACAAATTACATCAAGCACCAATTTCGACTGTGTATATATAAAATGATGTTTGATTTGGTATTGGAATAAGACGCTGTTGTCTTGATGTCTCACTTTCCCTTATGCATTTCAGCGGCACATTCTTTTTCGATATTCTTGCTCTCCATTGTCTTTCGTTTAACTGTGTGCGTGCATTGTTTTAATAAATCGTTCACTGTTTACGCTAATGAATTGTCTCAGCTGTGTGCATACATTATTTTAAGAAATTTTTAGAGCTGCCCATTTTCAAGAAAATTTAAGTAAAACACTGCCCATTTTTGAGTTTTGAGCTGCTCATTTGGGATTTAGAACTGCCCAAATGGGCAAGAGCTGCCCATTAAAATAATGCATGGCTGTGTGAGAATGTTTGTGCGTTTGTTTTCATAATCAAATGATTATAAGAAGTAAACCATGAAAAAAAAAATATTATTCCAAAACCATGACACATTATATTTCAATATGATTTGTTCTGGATTATTTGTTATGAAAAATGCTTTTGCATCGGTGGCTCAATTGAAATAAAAATGTGTATCGATGTTTCATTTTGACATATTTTTTCAACTAAAGACACTTCATATGCGCGACCGACTCGTGTTTATGTGTGTACACGACAAACCAATGGAAATTAAACGTTGTTTGTAAACGACTTGCGATTCGGATAGCGAAGCGGGCGTTTGTATGTGTTGATTTGTATATGATACACATCGTTGTTCAATGTGTTGCAATTCTAAATGTTCTATGTTCATATGCTTATGTGTATGTGTATGTGAATAGTCGCTTTGACTGTTGTGTGTTTGTTATGAACGTTTTTTGGTTGGTAAAACTGCGCTTGTTTTTCAGCATTTATTCTAAACTTCAAAGAGTCGGATACTTTATTCATCGTTTGTACCTTTCGGTGCATACGTACATTGGCTTAATTCAAAAACAAATGGTTTCTCATTGGAACTTGTTGTTTACGTGTAACATTTCGAACGAATATTGAGTCCATTTACGTAACTACACAGCTGTGCCTGCGTATTTCATCCATAAAAAAATAAGCAAATAGATGGAAAGCGAGAAGAATTTTTTGAATAGTTTGTTTTCGAATTCAGTCATTGGGAATTTTGTTTTCCTATACATGACATAATGAGGACAAGTTTACAACATCCAACTTTTGACTATAAATTATACACCGAATTCGTGGAATTGGCTCATCTTCGAACTTAAACTAAGTTTCGGATACAAAATTTTGGCATTTCCAGATTTTCATTACCTATCTCAATTTTTTTTGAGTTATCGTGTTAACAAACACCAACGACGACGACGACACACGAACGGTATCCGGTACGAACGGAAAAGTACCTCAAAAAGTGGTTTTCTACGCGTTTCATGAGTTTTTATGATGTTCTAAACCAATTTTGCGAAAAAAGTGTACGGAAAAGTAAAAGTAATTTTCTTCATTCAAATTTCCATGTATTCAATTCACTAATTCGTTGGATCGATTTTTAAAATCGTACAAAATCAAAAATGGTTAGTGTGCATTAGATTTGACACTATTGGCATTTATCTCTCAAATCAACTCACACAAATCGTCGTATTTTTCTTTGCTCGGCAATTTTGGGTTGCATAAACAATGCAGGATTTTGTATGCAAAATTGAAATTTTTTGCTTTTCGTCCGTGCACTCAATTTCGATGAAATGTAATTCAAGACGTTCGAACCACAAATTCCAATTTTCTGTCGGGTTAAACTCCGGCATCGATGATGCGGTGATGATTTTCGTGTCCGTCATTTTTTTTGTCGATGATTTTCATCTAATGCGTAGATGTTCAGAAAAAAAATTGTTGTCGCCAATGTGATGTATCTCAGTTGAGAGTCGGAAACAGAGATGACTGAAGCGCACCGAGTGACCGAGCAACGGCCGCACGGACACTGAGTTTGCGTGCTTAAAACATGCTCAGTGCGATATTGCGCTGCAGCACAAACAAACCCACTCCATGAAGAGAGTATAAGCGCACCAACGGAGTGCGCTACACCGCACTCGTACACAACGAAGAAACAATAGAGAGGATATACAAAGAAAGAAACACAAAGAAAAGAATAAGACAATACACACTCAACTCTTTATATGTGTGTATAAACCATAATAGGCAACAGAGTTAGAGTGCGCACACATTTCTTAACAACAAAGTCAGAGTGCGCACATAAACTCATAACGAAGTGAGTGTAAACGCACAGAGCAGAAAACGACTCTCAGTTGAGTTGCTGGATACGCTACTGAGCGTGCGCTTAGTCATCTCTGTCGGAAACAGAAGAAAGTCTTTATTCAATGTTCTTACTAGCTAATGTCACAATGGTTTTATTCTAGTAGACAATGTGTCTGAATGGCACTGTAGTATAAATCTAGTAATAGATTAAGTACTTTCATACTTGCTATAATGATGTACTTTATGTACTCTACAGTTTCAAAATTCTTAAAAATAAACGCAAATATTGTCGCAGTTTCATTATATTATTTTACTAAGGGCCATTTACGAATACATCACAAAGAGATTTACCCAAAAGGATTTCATATTTTCTATTTTTTGGTGATTTTTCTGTTTTTGGCGTGATGAAAGTGCGAAATAATTATAATTATAGACGCACTCACAGTTTTATGCAAAAAATTCGAGCTATTGACATGTTTGTGTCATTTTATTGACACTTGTGTCAAAATTAATTTCTCAACGTGGCAATTTTATTGAAAGAAATGTTAATTTTATCGCAAGTTTTGTTAAAAAAAAATTTAATTTTTGTCAAATTTATGGAACTTATTTGTCAATTTTATTACCTGTTGTGTCACTTTTATTTCACGCTTTGTTAATTTTATTTCAAGATTTGTATTTAACCATTGTAAATGGATACAAAACCTTCTGATATTTAAAGGATGGAACTAAATACAAAATATCATGCAAAATATCGGCAAAAATTCTTAGCATTTTGGTCGAAAAAAATCACGAAATTACCATTTTTTGTGGAAATTTTTGCAAGAAAATCCAAATATTTTCACGAATTTTCGATTGAACGCAATAAAATCGTCAATTATGAATGGATAAATCTAAAACGTAATATTTTTTTCCCAAAACGGTTAGAAAAATTTCTTTTTTGGCTATAAAAACTAACTAAATTTGGTATATTTTTTTGCCGAAAAATAATCGGAAAAATATTACCTTTTGTCAGAAAATTTTGGAGTGCGGTTGGTTCGTGACACCGAGCGTAATACAGCATCGATATTATATGTGCGAGACAGAAAGACAAATAAGTAGCACAATACACAGTCAACGTTTTTGCTGCCGTTGTTGCTGTTCGTTCAGATCGACTGACATTTCTCGGCTCAAGCGTAGCTGTTCGCATTTAGGAATGAATATGATTCATGGGAATTTAAATTTGATAAAAATTCTTTCGGTCTGACATTTTGGATTATTTTCTGACAAAAATGTCTCTTGTTTTTTTGGAAAGTAGAACATTTGTCGACAGAATTTGCTTTTTTTCTGATTTTTTAAGCAAACATTCTTAGATATATTTCAGCCCAATTTAGTTCATTTTCTTCACAGAATTGAATTTTTTCTGATAAAAGGTAATATTTTTCCGATTATTTTTCGGCAAAAAAATATACCAAATTTAGTTAGTTTTTATAGCCAAAAAAGAAATTTTTCTGACCGTTTTGGGAAAAAAATATTACGTTTTAGAACGAGCCATTATGAATGTGCTGAGCGTATTTTAAGGAGTGTTGAATATTGGATGATACCTTTCTCATGTTTTCAACACCTCTTCAGATTCTTCGCCAAATCGGCGTTCATAGAAAGTCTTCCTAGATATAGTAATTTAATTACGATAAAATTCTTCAAAATCATATTGAATGTGTCTATTTAACTTATCTACGTCTAATAAAATAGTTTTGCACAATATTTGCATTTCAAAAACAGGTTTGTGTAAATTTTCTCGCACCTCCAATTTTGGCCATTATTGGTATTGGCTTATGATC